TGGGGGGGGGGGGGAGGGGGGAGGAGGGGGAGTAAAGTCTCAATGCCGTCTATGGATTCGCTGGGAGTTTTAAGAGATTAACTTAAGAGGGGGTGGTGCCCTTTTTATTTATTTCAACGGGCAAAGAGAATGTAGTTGGCTAGAGGGTTGAAATATATATATATATAGATAAATAACACTCCGAACAGGGTTGCTCACTTTAAGCCGGCGCCGATGCAAAGCATCAAACAGAAAGCATTGAATCCAGAGAGGCAGCATTTTTAATCCCTACTTTATCGACCTTACAAAGGAATGGATGAACTCGGATATGGACGTTTCAATATTATAAGTGTGGATATGTGTGTATATATATATATATATATACACATATGGTTTTTGTGATCAGTTAGAATTTATGGACACTATACCTATGTATTGATGATCGATATATCTTTTTTCTCTCATCAATAATGTATTCAGTATCCTTTATCGGCATTGTACCCCATCAAATCACGTCCGCTCAAAGGATATTGTTTGCCTGTTAAACGGCTATTCCAAACGTCAATCTGCCAGATTTAAAGAGTGGTACGTGCGTGATCATGCATATGCGCAGATTAACGGTTTTAATGAGTCCGAGAATGTGACAGAAATGAAAGACGTAAAGAAAAAATTAAGTAAAGATAAAAAAAAATTATCGGGAAGAAAACACGCGATATAGATATAACGCGTACGAGCACTGTGTAAAATAGAAATTGGATTGGGCTGAAAGTTTACACGGCCGGAAGAAACGGTCGTGCACATAGTCTATTTCCTTTAGGGTGGAAAAATTGTCGCGATTTAGATAAAAAATTGTGCCACGTTGGCATTCCTTTTTTTGAACTTCCCGTTCTATTATTTCTTTTATCCCCTCTCTTTCTATGTACTCGTGATGCATTTTCATCACCGGAAAGAAATTACAGAGCGAAAAATAAATATCGACTTTCAGGTAACGCCATTGACATGGAGACAGGATCTTTAGTTCGTGATGTCTTTCGCGAGTTCAAAGAAATTGCGAGTGCCCAGAGGAAATTATCTCCTTGATTGGACAGATAGAGCCGGATGCTGTGAAAAAAGGATGTAGAATAAAAAAAAAAATAAAAAAAGCTATACTACTGATATAAAAATGTTTGAATATTATTTTAGGGATGCATTTTTAGTTTCGACGTAATTTGCATTTTTCGTTTCGACAAAAAATTCTCGAAAATATAGCTCACTCGTCTCAAGTTCTCTCAGCGAATATTTCTCAAAGACGCAGCATCAATATTTCCTCAGGGATCCCATAATTCACCCCTTTTCCCTTTCACCACCCCCATCAGTAAATATTATGTAAAATTACCGATGTCTCAGGTGGCTATATCTCAGGGTGAAAGCAGACCGGATATGCGAGTAGCTGAAGTTAGTCAAGCTCGGATCTCAAATTGATAACTGGTCGTTAAAGAGTGATCGTAAAGAACCATATGCCTCGTAAACTTTCACGTGTCAAAGTTCACGAGAAGATAAAGAGCGAGTATATCAACGTCTAAGAATAAAGTGTATCAGATATACCATATGTGATAAGTAAAAGTGATTTACGAAAAAAAAAAAGTTATCCATAAAAGTGATGTTTTTCCAATAAATTTGTTCGTGGGTTCGAAAAGTGTTGAGTGAAAATTTGGAAGATAAAAAAATTTTTTTTTTTTTAACAATATTTTCTTAGTCAAAACTCAAAGAATTCATACGGACGGATTTTTCATATTTTCATTGGCCTCATTATCTTAATGAATGTTGTTTCACTCGGCAGTTGTGATTGTGATAGTTAAAGTGCGGCATACCAGTGCTTCTCAGTCTGAATTCATAAATGTACGAAGGCAAAACTCTACGATGGTGGCTCAGCTTCCGCAACAAGTTCTTCTGCTTCTCGTACTCGGTGAGTAGAGCGCGGGGATTTTCTATATTTAGTGGAGCGGCCTGGTTATGTGGGATAAGATTCGGATGCTGTGTGTTCAGCATCGTGGGCACCTGCTTGGAGAGAATTAGGAGATGGGAAATTATTTAAATCCCGAGTGTACCCATTAGCTGTACACTGGGGTACCGTGATACCCCCACCCTGACGAAAAATCTAAAAAATTAAGTATTTCGAAAGGGTATTGGGGTATCGATGTACCCCACAGATACAGATTTAGGGTTGAGGCGAAGATGGTAATTACGATAAGAATTGATTAAAAAAAAAAGAAATTCTCCCTCAGAGCAATCTTTTTTTTTGTAGCCGTTATTCGTCACTTAAACTTTCTTATCTGTAAACTTGTAAGTTGGGCTTGTCGAATTCGCGCGGAAGCGAAAGTTTAATTGACTGGGATGCTGCGAACGTATAAAGGAAGAAATTAGGAAAGTTTTCTTCGACGAGATTATTCGAGCTTCGAGTCCTTCTAGACGGATCGCTTCCAGCCACTGGTTGAATGCGGGATGGTGAAAGTGTTTATCCTGGTTGTCTTCACATTTTTTTTTGTTCGTCAGGGTTCAAAGGTCGACTCGCGTTCCTCTTTGAGGGTCGGCAGAATCTTATTTTTTTTTATCAGATAAATGAATCGTTCGTATTTCGTAAAAAGGTACCATCTGTTGCCTGATACATTTTAAAGATAACTAAGACGAAAAAATTTTCTAAAAATTCACGATATTGAAAATTTTACAAAAAATTAAGTAAAATCGATGTTATATACAAAATCTTGTAGGTATACAAGTAAGTATGTAGATACGTGAAATGGAAATTTCGATGTTGAAAAAAAAAAATTATTAAACTTTTATGATATCTCTATCCCGTTATCAGTTCATCACTCGATCGTCATTTAAACGAATAAATTTCATAACGGATATTGATAACGATGATTTTCGGAAATTTCGGTTAGTATAATCTTTTCTCCGTGTACCACGTATGATATGTTAATTAAAGATAAATTAACTAGAGACTTCAGTGGGAAATGCCCAAGTGAAATCGAAAGTGATTTGCAGAGGATAAACTGAAATACAAAAAGAAAGTGGGTGTGATAACAAAGTCACCAAGTTGACTAAAAGCTTTTCGTTTTCCCCTGTGGTTACACTGAGTAAGTACATAATCAAGTTCGAAGGCCCATTATAAGTTTGTTACGTTGGCACCATTGCTCATCGAGCAATCAAGTGAACATATACAAGACTTACTTTTCGTTAAGTTGGCACTGCCGTTTTTGGATCCCACGAAGGCGTCGACTCTTAACATAGGAAGTAATACCAACCCAGCACTACCTTATATGATCACGCCGGAAAATGTCTCCAACACCTCTTGTAACGAGATGCTGAGTTCCTGTTTGCGCAACAACAAAGCTACAACGTAAGAGAAAAAAAAAATGAAAGAAGAATAGACTGAGGATTTGCTGCGAGAATAAAGTTTTTATGTTGCTCGTTGGAAAGTTTTCGGCCTGTCTTTCCGTATCGTGCAACAGTGAGATTATTGCCCGGGGCGGCAGTGTCGTTATCCACTTTTCGGCTTTGACGATAAATTTCATTTTCAAAGTTTATCGCGTCTCGAGGGTTATTGAGTTTGGTTCCAACGTTTTGTTATCAAGAAACTCTTAGGTAGAGTTGCGCTGTTGGTAGCACTAAATAAAATCCTCAAGTGGTATACTTGTATATTTATAGTTAGTGATGATAGTCGTTAGGCCTTTTCATATAGGTCATATTGAATTAGAAATGTCACTAGCGCTAGTTACTCGATAATTTATTATAATGAGACATAAGACTATATACGTATAGAAGACCACGTAGAAGGTCGAGGTTCGAGTATTGCCTTATCATGTTTCTTAGACTTTCCTCATCTGAACTATCAGGAAATATTCTGGGCGAACTTTTAAACGTCGCACCCTGCCTATTTATCGGTATCAGCTTCGCGTATGTCGAGCCCGTTTAAATTTCATCGTTTAATTAAGAATCCCTACGCTAGGGCTGACTGGGAAATATCGTTCCCTAGGGGAAAATTGCTAAGGTGTTCAGACCAGACGAAATGTAAAGGGAGTACTGATGGGTGGGTCGTAGGTAGGTACTTACTGATAATAATTGCAAAGATGCAAAGTATAGCATGGTAATGGATTACGTAAACGCAATGCCGATACTCTAGAATAAAATAAAAATGTAAAAGTGAAGATTGACTTCCGTTCAATTTAGTTTCTGGTTTTTATTCTCTTTTTCAATCTGTCAATTTTCATGGTAGATTTGCGTTAGGAGGCTTGTAAGAGATTTTCACGTTATCGGTAAATAGTACGGATATAGTGATATGGAGATTCGGTAGGACCTTGGTTACCCAAGGGAAAAAATGGCGGGTCTCTATGGATCTCGTTCGAGAATTAAGAAAAAATTAAATTAGTAACTATCAGATTAAATTTCTCTCGCGCCCTTCGTTTTCGTGCCGTCGGAACGTAACTGGCTGAATTCAAATAAAAAATCCTCAGGCGGAAGAATCAAACTGTCCGTTTCTGTGTCCCGATTGCCGACCGCAGTAATATTGCATTTATGACGCATTTATCCCAAGCGTCGTTTTCCATTGGGATAGCCAGGAATCCTTTTACCGATCCAGAGGTACGCGTCGCCCGCGGACAGGCTCTCGATGAATTATTGAAAATCGATCTTCACTCGACCGTTTTTCACCCCATTCATTTATTTTCTTTTTTTACCTCCTCCCCCCTGTCATTTTTACGAACCCATACTAGCCCCCTCGGGGCTAGTAACTTTTAATCCATAGATATCATTGGGAGGAGTCACCCGTAATATATGGTAACGCATAAGCCTCAGGGGACTTATTTCCATGTATGAAACATCCTAGAGTATCCGGTAACTCGAACAATATTTTAAATCCCCTCTATTACCCTGATACGTATAAGTACCAGGGGACTTATTGTTTTCTTTGATACTCCCCACTTCCTCAGGGAATAATTTGCTCTTTCAAGGTTCAATGTCAACAGCCTTAAACAGCATATCTAACTTGGACTGTTTATTTCCCTAGGACTCGCCACGTATTATCTTAACCCGTGACAAAAGCACTTCCGAGCTTTGTCCCAGTATGACTCTGACGGTAAAGCTCGCTTTAACTGCATAAATGGGAGTCAAGGAAATTTAAAGCGGGGACTGGGCTTGCAAAGCAATTTCAAAGAAATATGGAATACTACCACCACTAGCAGGAAAGCTCTGGCGCTGCCAGTGGTAACGGCGTCGGGGTCGTATACCGACGCCCGTATCATTACGATGCCAAGGCTGTCGCCCAGTGAATATTCTCTCAAAAATTCGCCGGAGAAAACTCGCGCAACGTATTATAAACATATTTAATTTCACGGTAAAGCACAAAAGTGCATTATTGCAACTGCATCGCCTGCATCCTTGGATCGCTACACGTGTAGAGACGTCGGAATGCATTGATACCAATACCGGGTATACACTCATAGAAAAGCTCCCTATTTTGCAGTAATTTATTACCATTAAAACGCTCACCTGATTTTCACGTAACCAACAGCAACAATGATCAGGGAAATTATTGATAACGCTGTACCAGTACTTAATTCCACTTCATATATCGAAGCGGAATGTAGTATATCGTGTGCATTTTTTTTCTAGTTTCGTAATGAATTTTTCGCGAGAGTTATGGAAAGCCAGACGAAAATCTCCGTATAGAAAATTCTATGAGAATCATTGAAAATTCTCGGCGAACTCTCAAATGGACTTCGAAGCAATTTATGCAAATATTTCACGTGTATAAAAATAAAGGAAGAAAAGTTTTGCAGAGATTTTTCCATATTTTCAAAAAAATTCAAGATCTACATTACACGTGCGTTGCGAGTCTCTAGCTAGAATGCAATTTCGGTGCTGCATCGAATTGCAAATTACGTTTGAAGAGTTCCGAAAGTTTTGCGAAATTTTACAACAGAGGATTCCATCGTAGGAAAAACTTCTTGTCTTTTCTTACCTTTGAGATTTCTTTTGTTTTATAAATCTATATAGCGCGAGATAACAAACGGATTTATAAGGGCGTTGCGGCTATTATCCTTATCGAGTGCATAATCGATTATTAATTCATCGCGATAACCCCTATCAGGCATACCTTTAACACGGGATGGCGTGCCACGAGACATTTCTGACATTCCACGTAATATCAATAGCTGTACCTACCTACGATATTGGAATCGCGAATGAGGCGGAGGGTGAAGAGAGGCAAATAATGGCAGCCATAAAATACGCGCGAATAAATGCGAAATAAATATTTTTCTCATTCCAGCGTTGACTGTTGGGTGGGACAGTTGGTAACAAAAATTTATTAACGGCACCACATATTTCACATATGAAAATATAAATTTTCCCCTACGCATCACTTACGTGCATCCTTACTTGAATATTTACTGCATGCATATGCATATGGGGACTATTTTTTTTTTTTCATCGGCATTACGTCAACACTGCTACAACCTCCTACAATGTTACGGAGTCAATCTAGACTCATAGATAGTAAATATTCTTGATATTTATGAAAATTTATTTCATTTCATATATATACATGCTGGTGTATCTACCTGTCACATCACATGGTTAATTTTACTAAATTCCACTAATCGGAAAGCTAACAGGTAGCTGAGTACTTAACGCCGCATTCTGTAATCAGGATGTAATTAGTCGATAAAGTGGAACTCTGTTAATTTCATGATGATATGTATATTCATGCACAGTGGATATTTACAATAGGGAATAATAGATGAAAAATATTGTTTTTGCAAATATGGAAGATTAAAAGTATTACATTGGCTTTGTCAATGAGGATTTTTACCATGTTCTCAATGTATATGCAATTTTTTGCATGTGTTAGCGATTCATGATACGAGATGAGATTTTGTGCAATTTGTAAAAATGACTAGGACTTTG